GTAAATACCCAGGCCATGTCCAAGACATCGTCGCTCGCCCATGTGGCTGGGAATCACTTCATCCTCAGCCTAGCCCATAGGCTGTGGCAGTCCATCATGGCCTCCCGTCTTCTTCACAATGCAATGCACATCGCAACGAGTGATTGGACCTTTACACAAACAACATATATTAATTTCCATACATGGCATGGAATGCAACCGCCAGGCTATTATAATCTCCAACAAGATGAAGAGAGAAAAGGGCATCACAGTCAATCTGCGTGAAGATAGGCATACACAGATCGAGAGAGAGAGAGAGAGAGAGAGAGAGAGAGAGAGAGAGAGAGAGAGAGAGAGAGAGAGAGAGAGAGAGAGAGAGAGAGAGAGAGGTGCCAACAAAAAAACAACATAGAAGAGCACAAGGATGTATACAAAGATAGAGAGAGAGGTGCCAACAACAAAACAACATGGAAGAGCACAAGGATGTATACACCGATAGAGAGAGAGAGAGAGGCGCCAACAACAAAACAACATAGAAGAGCATAAGGATGTATGCCCAGGGAATGGAGCACAAAGAAAACAGCAAATGGGCCCCTAGTGTTAGTCCTGTCCAGGTCTGTGTGTTGCAGCAAACCGGGAGAAGGGAAGGAACAGGATATATAGCACCCGAGGCATGGATAAGACCTAAAAGCGCTCAAAAGGTAATAGAAAGGCAAAGGAGGCATGACCTGAAGACATAAGAAACGATAAGATATTAGAGAAGGTGGGAGGCACCACCCACTCCAAGGAAACTCCAAATACTTGCAGCTAACCACTGCGCAGACACACTTTGGGACTGAGCTTTTGTGCAGATACACTTTTGGTGCTAAGACCCAAAGACAAAAGGGAAACAGCACACAGATTGTACAATGATCACCTAGTGACCAAAGGAAGTGGTCCTGCAATTACAACCAACCTCGCAGTGAAATCGGAAGCAGTCTTTCTCGGAGAGAAACAGAAAACGAAAAGAAAGCAGACCGACCTTTATATGCCGTGCTGCCATGTTGAGGCGTCCAATCTCTCTGAATTTGTTCACAGCTTCCCGTAGACAATTTATTGATGCTGGCAAAAGCATTGCAAATTGAATTACGTTAGCACTCTCTGCCTGTCATTCACTTTCGTCTTTCCAACCACAACGAAGAAGAAAAAACAAAGAACGCATTTCTTGTCTTCTTGTCATTCATCTTCCCCAGGCACCTCCGCCGCTCAGGTACAACCAACAATAACAGAAACAAAGAAACCTCATGGACAGTGGAGATGAGCCAACTGCATGCTTCCAGTCAGAAACTGCCCCCTGCTCGCCTGATCACGGCCAAGAATCCACCTGCAATGTCCAGCACGGCTTCAAATCATTGACTCCCATGACTTGAGATCCACATAACAGCACCATGACCCCTCTCTCTATCCACTCTCTACAAGAGAAGCAGGTCCTAATCCCACCACACTCCATGTGAAAAAAATGGGAAGGGTATCTCGGGATAAAACATGGCACAACACAATTAGGCAAGTTGTAGAACGGCACCTGTACACTCAGGTCATTCTCGCACTAGGACTTTTTGACTTATTTATGGATCGAATGCACCCCAAGTCCGCAACAAATGCCGTTAGATACATTTAAGAATAGCTCGTATGAGTGCCCCCAATGTCTCTCCTTTCCGCTAGGACTTTTTGACTTATTCATGGATGTAATTCGATCAGATGCATCCAAGTCCACCACAAATGCCGTTATAACACAGCATCAACACGACTTCTCTTCCTGCCCCGTTCCAAGCCAAAAGGCCAAAATACCACTTTTGCCAGTCTTTTGGTATATATCTTGTACAGGCGAGTTCTAAGATCACATCCTTTTAAACAAGGAAAGCCATTCAAAGACATATTGCCTATTAGCATCGCAGACTAGGAGAATGGCCAGCATATCAACGGGGTAAACAGTATGTACTGCCACCAAGAGAGGATACGAGTAGCACGGTAGCACAACAGGGACCACAGGCAGGAAGGTGAATGTGACTAGCCATGCACAATCAAAGTGCACCTTCTAAGATTAACTATCACATCAAAGTGCCACTTCACTCAGTCCATAGTTCAACTCCACTGCACACACCTTCAGGATTAACCTTCTTGTACGCCGTCGCAGCGTCAACCAGAGCAGACGCAGATTCATGTTTACTATCCTGCTGCTGAACTCCCAAAAAAATAGGAAACCGAGTACGAAACACCCATGAGACACACACAGAAAAAAGAGAACAAAAACAAAAAGGAAACACAAATGAGACACCCCACCACCACCACAGTGCCACCCAGTCAGTCGCAATCAAGGACGACAAACATGACATTATTACAGTGAAAAGGACGAAGCAGGTCGATACCCAACCCCCATACAAAAAGCCACTGCTATGACACTACATTGACTATCTAGACTGTCTGGGATTTTTTCCCAAACTGTTTGCTACATTCCCACGTGTCACACACCCGTTCGCCGCTTTGTTCTCTCACAACTGAGAAAACAACGTTAAACTACACACCTTGTGGACTGCGTACTACACAAATACTGTCCACAGAGTGCAGGCAGAACGGTTACCTAATGCCCATGGGAGGAACTCTTAAATGGAGAACATGGATATCATCATCAGATGCTATGTGGAGTTATCTGAGCCATCATTCTTGCTACCATCTTCACCCGAATAGAACGCCCGGTGATTATAACCGTATCTGGACTGAAAATTGCACCAAATACGGCTATAATGACCGGGCGTTCTATTTGGGTGAAGACAGTAGTTAATTTGCAAACAAGCAGCTGAGAAGTTGGGCGCAACACATCCATGTATTCAGGACACGACCCTATAAATACCATGTCAAGAAAAAAAATAAAAACAAAAGCTGACATACCCGGCCGAGTTGCCCGGGCAGCCCATGCTGCCAGGCCAGCCCCCCAGTCAGGGTTCCAGGCCGCCAAATCGCCGAGCAGGGCTACAGCTGTTCTCGACTTAGTAGTCCGCCTGGCAGCCGCAGGAGGTCCACCATGATTGTGCCCCCTTACCTGATCCCCCTTTTCTTTTCTCAGAATCGTGCCAGGACCTCACTTTACTTTGAGATTGTTTCTTCGAGTCAGCTCACCGTTCGCGACTCTTGGTGTTGCGGTGAACCATGTACTCTTTCGGACTATGATGATCAGTGTGTCCGGAGGTGTGAAATGAGGAGGGGAAGGAGGACGAGGGGAGGGGTTTGATTATACTCACTATTCCTGTCCCGAGTTGTGGCAGGTGCATGTGTGGAGCAATCTGAGTTATGGCAGATGTAATGCTGGACAACAAAACATGGAGAATAACATTATTCTCCCCCCATCATCCATCATCACTATTATAGTATTATCTCCCTTTTTCTCCAAGGCAGTTCCCGCATCATCAACACCACCACCATCAGCACAATCATCTCCCTCATTCTCTGCGACACTCACCCCATCATCATCATCATCATCAACACCCTGACCCCCCACCTGTCGTCCCCCCCTACATGAAAGTACCGAGGGGAAAAAAAACAAACCCAGCATCATCATCATCATCATCATCATCATCATCACCACCACCATCGACACCCTGACCCCCCACCTGCCGTCCCCCCCTACATCAAAGTACTGAGAAGAAAAAAAAACAAGCCCAGATCTGAGCTGGTCTCAGTGCGCACCGAAATGCCCGAATGGCCCAAAAAAAGAGAAAAGAAAATTCTCATTTTCTTAGTCACCCGGTATGACCCGGCAGGTGTCGTGCAGAGTGACTTGCCCACGCAGGTTTGGAGCTTTTATTCGGGGTTCAACCTCCTCATGAATAAAAGCTTCAAACCACAACTATCTCCAGAGCTGACCTGCCTGAGCTGACGAGGTCTACTACTATATCACTATTCAGCGATGCGGAAGGGGGGTGGGGGGACAGAATCCAAACATACGCCGTCAAAAAGAAGGCGAGGCCATAAGATGGTGGTGGACGGAAATTTAATATCGACACATATTACAATCACATCTTGGCCAGAGAAGTGCTGAGTTCATGCCCATGTGCACATGGGCGTTTTCCCCTAAACCAAGGTACAACAATTCTATAGTTGTACTCCGAAAAGAATTTGCAACCGCATGTGTGGCAAAGGGAAATTGAACTCCACATCAACAACACAGTACTTCTTATACACGTCTGACATACCCTGTCATGGCATTCCGCAAGCTTCACATATGCCTCGCCAGCTTTATTCCCTGCAGCAAACGACGACACAAACACCTTAAATGGGTGCCCAGTACTTTACTGGATTGTCAGCCACAGGACCAATAACAAATTTTGACAATGAGAACAGAGTATCTCCCATGTTCCAAAAGAGGAAAGGAAGCAGAGAAAATTGGGATTGAGCCACAACAGATTGAAAGCCAGAAAAGCGCATAGATATTGGAATTTCACATTCGATTCCACTGGCTGATGAAACCAGAATTTATTTGGCCACACCGTTCAATTCTAATTTGCTGGATTGACCAATGCTGAGGCTTTCTTTTACGTATGTATTGTATGATCGGTCTTGTGAAGTTCAAACTCTTACAGTGGGTAGAACGCAAAGTAAGATAAGCGATTGATTACATAATCGAGCAAATTAGGAAAGAAAACTTATGCTCCGTGACGTTTCAATAAGCTAGAGCTGTCTCTTATACACATCTAGATGTTTATAAGAGACAGTTACATAATCGAGCAAATTAGGAAAGAAAACTTATGCTCCGTGACGTTTCGAGCCCGTCAGTCAAACTGCCACACCCTGCCAAACCAGCCACAACTGGTCAACACATGGCACGCAGACCCCCTCACTCAAGCCAGTCAGTCAAACCAGCCCCCGGCGGTCAGTCTAATTCTACACTCAAATGACCGCCAGCCTGTCAAACCAGCAGTCTAACCCTCAATCAAACTAGTTTTTTGCCGTAGGTAGAGTCATCTCAGTCCCTGCATTAGTTCCGCCGTCGGTAGGAGTGCCTTCTTCAGAGGAAAGCAGGGAGGGGGACACCGTGCGCTCTGCAGCTTGGCTGCAGTTCTTTATGGAGTCAATCTCTGATTGTTTAAGAGAGCTCGATGGAATAAACAAGGGTGGCAAATGAACGGATGGACGTAGCACTCAGAGAGAGGATCTCTGCAACACGTTCACGATGACATTCTTCAAAAATAGTCTTCTCGCATGCTTCATGATTTGAAATTGAATGAAGAAAGCATGACNAGAGAGAGAGAGAGAGAGAGAGAGAGAGAGAGAGAGAGAGAGAGAGAGAGAGAGAGAGAGAGAGAGAGGGAGGGAGGGAGGGAGGGAGGGAGGGAGAGAACAAATCCACCCTGGCAAATAAGCTCATCCACCAAGGACCCAACTCACAAACCACAACGACGGCAGACAAAAACCAAAATGGCGAATACTAAGAACTGTCAAAGACCACACCCATAACTGTCAAAGAGCATAACCATTCTTCTAATCGACTACCTGAGCTAAATAAAACAGCAGCCCAAAAGTCAATCAATGTCTTGCTCCACGCTAAGTTCCCCAAAGCCATCAAAAATTCACGATCATAGCCTGTAATCCCAACACCACCACCACCACGGCAGTGAGAGTAGGACCTACCGTCTTTCCCCGAATAGAACCTGCGGTCACTATGTCCGTATTCGACCCCACTGTCAGTCCGGATGCAGCGCAAATGACAGTACGACGAGTACGTTCTATTCGGGTGAAGACAGCAGTATTGCTCCAGAGCTCTCCCTACAGTACAGTGTTTACTTGTTACTTGGCTCCGGGTCAATTGCAAAGAGTCAGCATTTTTGGGACTAAACCCTATCCTAGCCCACCTGGATGACTACAAACAATCAATCAGCTTTACACTAAATACCCAAAACCGCGCTGACCAACTCAATAAAAAAAGAGCAATGCACTGAATTTCAGTCTACCTTCTTCCCCCGAATACAACGTACAGTCATTATAGCCGTATTTGGGTTATCTTTCAGTCTAAATACAGCTATAATGACCGTGTGTTGTACTCGGAAAAAGGTAGCCAATCCCCTGCCTAAACAGCACTCCCCCTCCTCTACCCTGTAGAGTAGCCGCACTTCAGCAACAGATAGTCGTCTGACAGGCACTACCGTCTTCGTCCGAATAGAACATACGGTCATTATAGCCGTATTTGGCTCACCTTTCAGTCCAGATGCAGCGAAAATGGCCGTACGTTCTATTCGGGGGAAGAACGTAAGGGCCAGGTAGACAGAGCCAGATATGAGAAAAAAATGTGGAGAAGCCTCTCTACGCCGTAGCAGCGGCGCTCAGCGGAACACAGTGTAGCTAGATCCAAATAGCCATGGACACCGAGCCTACTACCGTCTTCACCCGGATAGCACGCCCGGTCAAAACGCTGTATTAGGGACAACTGTCAGTCCAGATACAGAGTTATAATGACCGGGCGTTCTATGCAGCCGAATACGGCAGAGATAACCTAACCTCCTCCTCTCCTGTACCTTAACACAGCAAGCTGCCCTGAGCCTTCACACCAAACCTCCTTAACAAAACAGGCGTGCCCTGAAGCCTCAGAACACACACCGCCAGAGCACATTTCGCTGCAGCATATCATGGCAGCCCGGTGTAGAGGGCAGGTGAATGACACAGCAAGCTGCCCTGAGCCTTCACACCAAACCNCCAGAGCACATTTCGCTGCAGCATATCATGGCAGCCCGGTGTAGAGGGCAGGTGAATGACACAGCAAGCTGCCCTGAGCCTTCACACCAAACCCCCTTAACAAAACAGGCGTGCCCTGAAGCCTCAGAACACACACCTCCAGAGCACATTTCGCTGCAGCATATCATGGCAGCCCGGTGTAGAGGGCAGGTGAATGATAGGAGGAGATGCAGCTATGGCGCCAGATTTCAAGCGCAGTGGACATAAAGACTTCCGCACGGCTGTAGATGCCAGCGACTCCATAGAGCAGAGCTGTAAATCCACAGCTCATTACTCTGTTCAGACTGGTCTCGTAATGAATCCATTGGTTGAATTCTCCAGAGCTTGTGCAGAACCCGTGGACAGACTCTGTTCAGACTGAAAACACCAAGCATCAGTGTTCTCTCCGTCAACGGGAAAGTCCCTCCCACCTACCTTAGGATGTTTTATTTCTGACTTTTGCATCAGGAACGGAGAAACCCCACCGCATAAGTCCAAACTCGCGAGGGTTATATCTATACTATATCTATATCTATAGTATATCTTTACTATAGCTATACTATAGCTATACCATATCATAGTATTTCTATATACCTGTACTACCTGTTATCCGATCGGGGCAAGGCCACGAAGCAAACAGCACACATCAGCATTGTCAAGTGCTGAGTCAACCGATTGTGATAATTATAATTGATCAGTGCGGGGAAAAAAAAAAAAAAAAAAAAACTCTCTCCGGAAAAACCTTCACCTCACGATCCTCTTCCATCAGGCGGCCTCCCTGTGTTGCAGCAATCACTCTCGAAACCTCCTTCTCCTCTTTATTCTGCTCTCTTTCCCGCTTTCCACAACTCCCACAACACGAACTAGGCAAACTGGCGACACAGCCCCCTTTCTCCTCCTCCTCCTCCTCCTCCTCTTCCTCCTCTTCCTCCTCCACATCTTCGTCCCTCCTCCCTCATCCTCTTCCTCCCCCTCCTCCTCCTCCCCTCCCTTTCTCCTCCACCCCGTTGTTTCTCCCCCTCCAAACATTATACAAACCCTCGCGTGCAAAACGAACTTTGCAAACTGGCGACACAGCCCCCTTCCTCCTCCTCCTCCTCCTCTTTCTCCTTCACTTCTTCCTCCCTCCTCCCTCATCCTCTTCCTCCTCCTTCCCCCTCTTCCTCCTCCCCCCTTTTCTCCTCCACCCCGTTGTTTCTCCCCCTCCAAACATTATACAATCCCTCGCGTACAAAACGAACACGGCAAACTGGCGACACAGCCCCCTTCCTCCGCCTCGTCCTCCTCCTCCTCCTCTTCGTACTCCTCCTTCACTTCTTCCTCCCTCCTCCCTCATCCTCTTCCTCCTCTTCCTTCCTCCTCCTCCCCCCCCTCTCCTCCTCCACCCCGTCGTTTCTCCCCCTCCAAATCTTATACAATCCCTCGCGTACCAATGGCAGAAAACAGCAGGCGGTCCTGAGACTTATCTCTAGCTTTTCTGTTCCTTCATTTACCACTTCTTTCCAGTCTTCCACAGGACGTCAAATCTTGTCGATTTACCTTGCCAAACTACTACCCACGCGCTCTTCCCGTTGTCCTATCTTGTACAGTCTTTTCCAATGACAGTCATCGTGCTTTTCCCATTTCCTTATCTTCTAGTCTTTTCCAAAGAAAAGGCAAGGGCAAAGGTTCGCGCACATACACTCACGTGAGTACACGATCACACATGAGGCTGCCACACAGCAATGGCAGAAAACCCGCGTAGCGTAGCCGGACGTCTAATAAGAAATATTATCATCAAAAAGATGTCCCATCCCTTCTCCTCCCCACCTTCATTCCAGGGGCAACCCCAATAGGAAAGTCAATTCTTGAGAACTCGCGCTTTTTCCATTTCCAATCTTCTAGCCTTTCCCAAAGGCAGTGAATTCATGAGAATTTCCCTTTCGAATAGTACGACCTGGCTCTCTCCTTTTAATAAAAAAATAAAATAAATCATGGAGTCTACGCTATATTTCCGGCTCGGTACAGCCATAATCAGGGTGCGTTGTGTTCGCGGGAAGACGGTGGTCCGGAAACAGATCCCGTTCCGCCCGATTTGGGGACGTTAGAGATCCGATTTTACATCTACCGCTTAGTAGTTTTGTTTGCATGTATACACGCTATATTTCCGGTTCTGTACAGCCATAATCAGGGTGCGTAGTAGTTTAGTTTGAATGTATACACGCTATATTTCCGGCTCGGTACAGCCATAATCAGGGTGCGTTGTGATCGGGGGAAGACGGTGGTCTGGAAACAGATCCCATTCACCCCGATTTGGGGACGCTTGGGATCCGATTTTACGTCTACCGCTTAGTAGTTTTGTTTGCAACCAAGGCAATCCTAGCAGGCAATAAATATTGACAAACTCGCAAACGACAAAAGAACGTTAAAAAAAAAAAAAAAAAAAAAAGAAGAACGTTAAGTGCGCAGTTAGGAAGAAGGACACGTGCCACAGAACAAACGAGAGATAGAGAGAGTAAGAACCCCCGCAGGCCTCAGCCAATGGTGTACGAGACAACGATGAGGTCCGCGGCGTACAGAATTACACGAAGAAGGAAGGTTATCGGTCTACACGAGGCTCAGCCAAAACCAACCTCAACAAGTCCATTTCTCTCGGTTATGCGTGTCATCCCTGCGCAGGGGCCATGCTGACCTTCTCTCTGTGTATCTTCCGATTTTAACGAATGTCCCGAAGGACAATCTCAACAAGGCCATCCCCCGTCTGCCAAGGGCAGACTTTACTGACTCATACACACCTACCACTTCCCAAGTCAGTGCACCACCGAACCCACGCTCAGAAAATCAGCAAAGAATCAGACCAAAACAGGAAAGCGCGCCACGTGTGCTTGTTGCATGTGCGATGCTCAACCAGGCATCATCCACGAATCATCCATGAATCATCCATGAATAATCCATGAATGATGATGAGAGGTACCCCACCATCCGTACGGAAAAGCACCTCGGCCTCCGTACGAACAAGCCGCGACTACCCTCACTCGTATCATTGTTGTGATATAATGATACTTAACACATACTCGGTATTTTCCTGAATGTACCCGGCTGCGATTACTTTCAGATTCAGGGCATCCTCACACTAGGCCCTCAAAATGGCAAAATTATAAAATGAGCGGTCAGATCTAGTCCTCCTTTTACAGGGACTCAATCCGGCCGCTCATTTTGCGATTTTACAAGTTTTTGAGGACCTAGTGCGAGTATGCTCTCAGTCAACGAAGTCCTGAATTGAGTACATGCCTTTAACCCCAGCCGTCGAAAAGGAAGAACTCTGCCAACCGCTCCCCAGAATATGGGGGGGGGGGGGACTACGAAAAGCAGGATATAAAAACCATTACGACAGAATCAATATAAGGGCATCGCCACACCACTCTCGAAAAATGCAAAATGAGAATGAACTTCCAGCTAGATCATGACCAGATGCAGCCGCTACAATTTTATCTTTACCACATTTCCCGAGTGGTGTGGCGAGGCCCCCCCACTACTTTCGACCACTGCCAATCGGTTGTCGATTGTCTATATAAAAATTAAAGAAAAAGCAAAAGCAATTAAAGAAAAAGCGGATAATCGTATCGAAAACTGTCAACCGTCAGATGATCTGGAAAGCAGCAAGCTTGCCCAAAAAAAAAAAAAAAAAAAAAAAAATCGGCCACACACGGGATCAAACGTCAGAAGAATCTAGCAGGATCCAGGGAAAAGACGATGAGAATACTGCAGATGAACGATAGCTTAGCAAAAAAGCTAAAGAAAAGAGCACAGCTGTAGACACGCATGCCATATATACAACTGTACATGCATTATACTACCATGTCTATCTATACATCGTCATAGAGAACAGTCCGGTGAGCCGCGAGCAGAGAGGGAGGGAAAAGAAGAGGACAACAAACGAGGGGCTGTGACAAACTGTTTCGACGGAGTTTCACCTACTGACTCATCAGGAGGCTGAACCATCTACAGTCAGCAGAGTCCCTTAACCAATGCCACTATCAGTGATAATCCACTATAACTCCAGTCGTGATTACGCATCAAACACTGCCCAACAACTTATATATATAGAGAGATATCGGAGCGCAAAGGCGGAAAAAGACAAAACAAAAAAAGGGAAAGCAGTAAAGGAAGGAAAGCTCCGCCTGTTCATCACCTCTTACGTACAAGGCCAGCCACTTGGATGACAGGTTGAGCGCTGGCTGCCCCTACATATATATATTGTCACACTGTGAATCGGATACATGCACATAAGGTTTAGCGGGCAGTTCCATTTGACAATCTACATATACATACACATATACATATATATATATAGTCAAACAGAGCTGCCCGGTAAACCGTAGGCAAAAAGGGAGAAGAGGACAACAAACGAGGGTCTGTGACAAACTGTTTCCTCAGAGTTTATATACATATATCATCACATGAATATGTATATATATATATATATTGTCACATGATATCAGAGCGCAAAAGCGAAGAAAACCAAGGAAAAATGAATTCATTCTTTTATCTTCTTCTTTACAACACCCCTGTTCAGAACCTCTTGCGTACAAGGCCGCCCACGTGGATGTAGGTTGAGCGGCGGCTGCCCCCACCCCCGTGTGTCATATCGACCCACTTGCACACAGCTATCTATCTATCTATATATATATATAATATATACATATATATAGGCACATCTATCACTACAATGGGGTTTCTTCGAACCTGCGAACAGAGCGGTTGTCATGATAGATTGACGGGATCGCGCGCGAATGCCGCGAGTGGGAAGAAAAAGCGCGGGAAATTGTCAGGATACTTGAACACAAACCTAGCGCCAAAGACCATTCACCATGGTCATTTTCGCAAAAATGATCGGACGCACACATCCTTCCACTACAATTGCACCTACCTATCCACGCATGACAGGAAGCGAATGGCCTCGCTCCACTACGCACCAAAAATGTTAAATGGGAACGAATCTTCCACTAGAACATGGAAGGATACACTGCCATATTTTTTTGTGTTTCGTGCATGTGGTGAATTGTGGAGCGAAAACTGAAGTCTCCGTTCTGCAAAATTATTTGACCCTATCAATCATTTGGCAAGAAGGATCCCTTCAAGTCATTTGGCGGGAAAGATTATCAAAGTCCATTGGCGACAAAAACGCTTTCAGGGCATTTGGCGCGAGAAAGATTCAAGTCATTTGGCGGGAAAGATCCTCGCAGGCGGTTGGCGGGAAAGATTTTCCCAATCACTAGCGGGAAAGATGCTTCCGTCGTGATTTCTTTCACTAATTTGATTCCAAGCACACCCAAGAGACAGCGCCCATGCGCATACAAAAATATTGCACCAAAAACAGAAAAACTAACAGCGCGTCTCCAAACCACCGTAGATAAAAAATAATAATAATAATCATAATAATAACAATAATAATAATAATAATAATAATAAATCATAATAATAATAAAAACATCGCAGATGGTATTAAAAGGTCGCGCAGAAAGAACAAAAGACAAAGGGAAATGAATGGAGGAGGGTGGACTACACCCCACGAAGAATTCTTGTCTTCTGGCTACAAGCTAACCCACAAACTACCCCCATTTTGACAGAAAGGCGTGCAATTATATAAACCTTGCTTGTGTGAGTTGCTTTCTTTCACACATATACCACGAGATCTCACCAGGGAATGCATCCAAGTTTTGCTCACGGAAGGTTCCTCTCTCTCTCTCTCTCTCTCTCTCTCTCTCTCTCTCTCTCTCTCTCTCTCTCTCTCT